GATGAGGAGTTTTCGAGAGAAAAGTTTTGCGAACGATTTATGGTGCTTTGTACATTAAGAAACGCAAATTCTAGAGATGATGGAACGATTAGCTGGCATAGTCCAGCGAATGAAGGGACAGCGGCCGCGTCGACTAGGTCTTATCATTAGAATGGATGAAAGCGCTCCAACTTTGAATGTATTCGATGCAGTACCCGCCGGTGGAAGTAGAAAAAGATATTTAGATAAATTTCAAGCAAACAGTGTCATTGTCTACTTTACTTCCCATAAGTCCATTATATCGTTTCTTGCAGCTCTAATAGACATCATATGTAGGTATATTAAACTCCTTCCCTTTGCCCTCAGTTGCTTGTAAAAAATATGATGTTCTCACGTATGGGGAAATATTTGTGTCCATTAAAAAAAAAGCAATAACTCCTAAAATATTCAACCATGTCACAAACAACAACCTGCTAAAAAAGAATCTCTGGATATGAACAAGAACTGACCAAGCAATGGCAGCATTATAGAAGCAGAGACAAAGAGGTCCATTAGTTTGGTTTATTCCAGCTTACAACTCTTTTTCTATTATTTTGCCGTCAATCAAATGGCTTTTGTGCTCTCGTTTGTTTATCGGTATGTTCTCTCTCTTCTATCCCTTAATATGCAGTTGTTAATAACAACGTTGTGCTTGTTGCTTTTATTATGAAAACAAATATATTTTAGTACTTTTTCACTTTTCTAACTTTTCTAAGTAACAGTTGCAATATTTCTACACCTTTGCTTCTGTCTTCTCCCTAAAGGAATTAAATACTAATTTCATTCATAGCTCCATACAGAGTTTTTCATGAATGGAACTCTCACAAGTCTGCCATAAATTCCTTCCGGTTTGCTTGTATGGTTATGTATTATAAGTGATTATGCAATCAGATCAGCCTGATGGCTTGGTGGCTGGCAGAATTTTCGTTGTCAGTGTCACTTTTACATTTGAGAAATGCAATTGTCAAGTCAACTTGTGCTCCTTCAATATGAGACCTACACGCATACATACATACACGTATGTCTGTCACTACTTTTTAACAATAACTGTGTTGAAAGTATAATAATAGTATTTTATTTAATACAAGATTATATAAAATAATTGTCACGGTATTTTGAAACAACATGTGTACATACAAACGTAAATATTTAATCACCGGTCTTTTTTGTGTCAGTTTTTCCGTATTTTCTGTTGTAAAATATAAATAAAATTAGCCTTTGTAACTGCTGAAGCGATTTTCAGCCGAGCTCCTCCTCGAATTTGTGGTTTTAATTTTAGATGTTTTACTCACAAAATGGAAGGTCCTACTGTTTATACTAAGTCGCCTCCGAACGGCTAATGGTCTATTTTATGTCCCAAAAACACTCGCAAGGGTGGCTATTACCTGCTGAGGGGCGACCGCAATTAGAAAATTTACCTTAATTTGTTATTAAAATTATTCAGCCCGTATCCTTTTACGAAATGTACTCTACAACACCAACAAATGGAGGAACGTAAAGTTCATTCGAAGCCACCTCCGAACAGCCGTTGGGTTTAAATGAAGAGATTTTCATTCCATGCGTGGAATTCACTTGATGCTACTGACATTCACCACCGGGAGGCCGATTGCAATTAGAAAATATAATATAATATAAACTTCTTTACGCAATTGTATGCCTTGTTCATTTCTATGAATTTGGTTTTTGCGTAACCAAGACTAGAACGTTGGTGTTAGTAGTTCCTTTTAAATTTCCTCCCAGATCATTTCTGTATAAACTTAAGATGGAAAACTCTGAGGAAAACTTAAATCCCGACACAATAGACGATCTTCCCGTCTGACGGCATCGTACATAATTTTTTTATATATCTTTTTTTGGAAATTTTCTTGGGACCATTCATGGCCAAATACAAAAATTTGTTGCAAAAACAGAGTCAGCTTTGTTAAATGTCGGTTGGTTGGTTGGTTGAAAGGAGAGGTTGAGGATCTAAGTCATTGAGTAGACTCATTATGCTCCCCCGCATGTCTCAACTAAGCGTTCATCCGATTAGAAACCATTTAAGTTTCTTCCAAGCTTGCGTGTTCGCCTCCGTAGGACTGCAGATGTGAGCATTGGGAGAGATGTGACGTCTTAATCGGCGGCGGAAGGCCCGACACTAGACCTCTAGCGGATTCCACATTAACAAGCTTCGGCGCATGCCCCGTTATACTGTATAACCATAAGAATACTATGTTCTCCTTCGTTTAATGTTAAATGCAAGTAAGAATAGGAGATATTCTCCTACGTTAGAAATCCTCCAGTAACGGTTGCTATATGTTTTACGGCTTTAGATGAAATTTGAAGGCGCTGAAGGGTCTTAGCCAGTTCCCATAAAGTTTCCTTTGTCGCACTTGAAAAAGGAGTCAGCTTCGAGTATTGCTGCAGAGCAAATTGTGTATACATAGTAGCCCACAGCGAATTACTATTCCATTCTCGTTTGGAACCACTGGTAAATAGGAAGTTCCAACCATTGCTAGTATAATGTGCCCGTTCCTTGACCAAAGCTAATCTGTACTATTCGTTAGTTGTGTTTGTACATACATACATACGAGTATATATAACACTTGATTTTGCTTTATTAAATGTAATTTAGTTATGTGAGGAAAATTTTACTTTAATTTAAAAAAATCAAAGTATTTAATACAAAGAAAAATATTCATACATCATCCACATTTGTTTAGATGTATATATATATATATATATATATATATATATATATATGTGTGTGTGTGTGTGTTTGTAGTACTGCATAAAATATGAAAGTACAATATTTAACAATAAATTTTTTATTCACAAAAAAAATACTTCCGATTATAATAAATATTTTATTCTACTACATTGGTTTACTCTGGTTAACCAAGTTGTATACATGATGAAATTCATATTTACTATTAAATTTTATTTTTATTTATTATTGTCATTATTTTTGTTTGAGGCAGCTTCCGAAAAATACTAAAATTTTACACTCATTGGGGAATAGACATGCAAATAAATGGTTGACCCTTTTGTTATAGTTTTTCATTTATCGTTTTATTTTGTTCTTTTTCTATTACTTTTAATGCTCTTAAATATAAATATATAAATATATGTACATATGTACTTATGTAAATGGGTATTTCTAATTTCGTTACTTTCATTCATTCATTTTGTATTTCTGGCATTGTTTAAATAAAATACTTTTAGTCACTATATTGTTCTTGTTGCCAGGCTTTTGGGTTAGCCTAAAATATTTACTTTGAGGTTTTAAGTTTTAAATGCAAAATATATATGTATATATATGTATTTGAGAAGATAATGCAATGCGTATAAACTACTTTGTATGCAAATAATGATAAATATATGTATGTAAAAATGGCCAAAGAAGTTTTATTATCACTTGAATTTTATTTGATTCACTCTCATATTTATATACATTTATATACATTATATTACATATACCTGTAGTATAGTAAAAAGTAATGCATTATTTGTACACCAGTTGACTTTAGTAATCGGATTATGATGGCATTAGAAGTCTGTAATTTTGGACTACAAAAGATTATGGGAAAAGTGTTGATAATTTTCCACGCAGTATCTGAGCGCATGCCAGTGATGGACGCCAGCAAAGAGAAAATACCTTGTATTCTACAACGTTTCTACGATTAAGGCGAAATCGCATTTCAGGCGGCGAAAAATGTGAATTGTGATTATATAGAATTTTTTATCGAAAATGTCGAAAAAATGGAAATTATCTAGTGTGGCCGTCATTCGATTGCCCAGGAGCTTCAAGATACACAAAAAGGCTGGATACACAGAAACGCTCAAAGTATGGATGCCGCATGAGTTATAGAGAAAAAACCTCATGAACCAAATTTCCATCTGCGAATCGCTAGTGAATCCTAAAAAAATCGATACATTTCTGAAGCGTATGGTAACTGGTGATGAAAAGTAGATTACTAACAGCAACAGTAACAAATGAAAATTGTAGTTGTCGAAGGATAGTGAGTCGGCATAAGCGGTATTCAAGCTAGGATTGATGGCAAGGAAGGATTTTTTTTGTGTTTTGATGGCATTGGCAAGGAATCATTCACTATGAGTTACTGCCATTACGGCCAAACTCTTAATTCAAACCTGTGCGGTCAACAATTGAACCATCTGAGGTCAGAAGTGCCCAGCTTTGGTCAATAGGAGAGGAATTATGTTTCATCAAGCTGTTTTGCCAGATCACACATATTGATAGTAACTTGCAGGAACTTTGCAGCCACCTTAAAGACCGGGCCCCGCACTTAGTGATTACCAGCTGTTTCAGTCTTTATCAAACGAATTGGCTGATATAGAATTGGCGTCAAGAGAAAAGATAATAGATTATTTTTTCTTATACCGAATATTAATATTTACTTTGCATCCATGAAAGGGAATATTTATTATGGTATTTTATTAATTATTTACTTTATTATTTAGTATAATTTTTTTATTGGCGGCGATGTTTAGCATTACGTAATGCCATTCGGAAGGCTCGGGATCAAAAAACTCGTGCGACCAACATCGAAAAGCTTTAGAAAATAAATTTAAATAAAAAATTAAGGCAGGTAATGTCCATCCCTTCAATTGTATTTCGGACATGAAATAAGGGCTTCTCATAAAAAAAATCAGCAGCCGTTCGGAGGCGGCTTAGTATAAACTGTAGGTCCCCCCATTTGTTAGAAAAAACAACAAGACGCAAAACCACAAACTGGAGGAGGAGCTCGGTTACAAAGCGCCAATTGTATATAGATTGCCTTTATTCGAGTTTATTGAGACCACTTTACGACTGTGGTCAAACATATTTCCTAAAATCAAGAATATTTGTATTACCTTCGTCTGAAATAATTTCCGAGCTCATGTCACATTACTATTTATATATATATGATATATTCTCGTACTAAAATTTTTGAAATTCAATTCCAACTCCAACTAATCTATTATTTAATTCATATCTCTTTCAGCAACTACCAACAAATTCAACATCTCGGTTATGCCGGACATGAATTCGCCACAGAAAGTATCTCCCAACAACAAGGGCTACAGGACAAAGGCTACGAGGAATGGGTTGGCGAAATGATTGGCATGCGTGAGATACTCAAGAGTTTCGCCAATGTATCCGTCAACGATGTGGTCGGCATGCGTGCGCCATTCTTGAAGCCTGGTCGCAATACACAATACAAGGTAAGCATTGCACTTTCATGCTCTTTCGCTCCCATACATATGTATGTGCACACGTTCAATTCTCATACTACACGTACGCACATATGTATGTATGTAATGTATAGTGCACAAGTGCAACAAATGATGGCTGCATGTTTGGAATACGTTGTTCTGCTGTTGTATTTGCTGCGTGCAAATGACGGCGAGGTGAGCTCATTTAAATGTCACTCAAAAACAACAATGTTATTTGAAACGTTGTGGCGCTTAGTGTTGAGTCTAGCTTGAGTAAAATAGGCCTGCAGATGAAATTGCATGAATGCTGTAGGAAATTTAGTGGCGAGCGGTCAGTCTTAAGCTTGAAGTTGCTGACCCATTGGGACTCATATAGACGATAAAACATCCATAGTGTTTACAGGTACACTACATGAGCCCAAGCTATACCGCTACATTGCTGTTCTTTCCTCAAACTTCAGTAGTCGTTTTGGCCATCGCCGATTTAAGATCTTGTACCCTCATTGCGCCAAGTAAGCATAGACCTTGTCTTCCGAATCGGCACTTACAGATTACATGCTCCACTGTTTCCACACATTCCTGGCATTTCCCACATTTATTGTCCCCAGTCAGTCCTACATTAAACGTATGAGGCGCCAAAAACCAATTCCCAGTGAAAAGATCTATCAGCAGCCTGGAGTTCGACCTTTTTACAAATAGTAAAACTTTGAGAATTTATTGTATTATATATCTGTTACAAATGTTTCTCGCGATTCTACACCTTTGCTTGTTTCGAGAGTCTATTCGCCTGACGAAGTACTGTAACTCTTGCTTCACAACCTTGAATGGGGCTGGAAGGTTCGATGCTGCGTAGTGTTCTAAATCGACACCCTCCTTATTCAGTTCGTCAACTATCTCGTTATTTTAAATTTCGGGTTGGAAGATACGGCAATAGTTTGGTAGCTTAAACGACTTTCTTATCTCTGGTTCGGCGTAGTGAACTGAAGTCTCCACTCCTTCGTTTATTTTAAAACAATCTATAGAAACATGAAATGGTTTGTCTGCATATTTAAAAAGTTTGCTCCAGCCATTTACCGCTGTTGATATTGAAAACAGCTTCCTGGCTTCCAGGATTACCGAGTCTATTCGTATGCTCAGGGGTACGTAAGTCCTGATATTCTGCTGCCGGCAATCATATAGCCTAGCAGCAGATAGGAATGCGCTGTTTTTAGCTACCTGCTTCATAGCTCTCCACCACAATAAATCTTCGTAGAAAAATATTTTCTAACGGACAGCTCCAGGTTAAAATATCGGGGGGAGACCCTAAGTGCAGTCAAACATTATTTTACATGTATAGAGTGCCGCTGATGCCTTCTTCACTCGCTTCTCCGCTTTGAGTCTCCAGGACAACTTGCTGGCCAGCACGAGTCCCAGATATTTAGTGCTAAGGTTTAGCTGCAATGTATGCTCTCCCAGCTTTGGCTTAATCCAAAATGAAATGGGACCATACCCGTTTTATCAGTGTTATTCTCGAGCTCTACTGATATAGCCCAGCTCTTAATGGTTCTAAGTGCCTAATTCGCCAGATATCCCAAGGTTGACAAACTCTTATCACCCACTATGGCTGAGATATCATCCGCAAAGGCTGAAAGCATGACAGTTAATCCCCACTGTACTTGGATAAACTGCAGGATGCAAGACATGTATCCAATCCCTAAGGACAGGGTTGACTCTTATCGAGTCAAACCCATCCATCAATATTAAAGTCCAGCGGAAGAGGGAGGCTCAACCAAAGGATGTAGAAGGTGGAAACTGTTGGCTTGGATGCCGGGTATAGGAACATTCCAGGCAACTGTTAGACGAATGAGCTAGTGAGGATATGTACCTGACTAACCATAATAAATTCTACGCACTTCGTCGCCTGGCTTTCACAATACCAGCGCACACCAGATGACATAGTGAAGGAACCTGCAATGCGACAACGCGGCTTTGGCTTGTGCTGCACGTTAAAAGATCAAGAGATCAGGCCATTAGATCAACAACATTAATTCAACAACACTGGGCACTTTTTTAAGGTACTTTACTGTAAAAGAATGGGAAATTTTTTCTATGATTTTTGTCGTAGCTGCAGCGAGGAAGAGTATGTCGAGCACTACCTCTTTAACTTTCCATTCCTAAGCAGCACACTGCCTGACTTAGTAACGGCTGTTATAGACAGTGTCACATCGTTCAAAAGTCACCAGAAATGGTTCCTACATCTGAGAAGGTGAGAAGTACATCACAACGGTATCACAATGGGCCTTCAGGCCTAAATGCGCTGGACATTATGATTAACAAGCGCATCGACTCAAGAGATTTTTTAGAAGAAAAAAGGATATTTTTGGTCATAGAGTCTTGGCAGAGACCACACACATATAGTTTAAGGCTTTAATTAACCGAAGCATATTTAAAATGAAGGAAAACTTGAATCTCTGCCTATTGAACAATAATAGTTTCGAGTGTTAATTCTGAAAAGGAATTCTCTAGTTCAAAAATGAAATTTTCGTATGTTGATTAAATGATTTTTTTCTGTTTTTGTGAGGTCGAAAAAAGCCTGAATTTTTAGCATAATGAAGACTTGAAAACATACAGTTCGGCAAAATAGTATTCGAATATTTTTTTTTTACAATTTATTACATCACATACATGTGTGCATATGTATCATACAAAGCAAAATAAATCCACATTTATTTTCCAGAAACCAGTACCATAATATTTTCTGCCCTTACTTGTCGCACACACACAACAACAGATTATTTTCTTCAATGTTGTTCCGCTTCCCTACCGACGACCCCACAAAATGGACAACACAAAAAAAAATTGTCATATGCATTTAAATCCATGCATGATATTTCAATTTCCTCTTATTTTGTGCATCATTTTTTGCTTGTCTCCTACTCATTTTTCATCAATAGATTTTGACTATTTTTAGCACTGAGTATTTATAGAGTTATGCATTGGACATTGTTTGTGATGACACAAAAGTCAAACCGGCAGTGAGTTTAAGTGGAGAGTATGATGAGTGGATGTTACAATGTATATACCCTGCAGGGAGTAGGTAGACTAGCATGCGAAAGTTCTAGTTAAATACTAGTATTTTGAAGATGAGGTCATAGCATTTGGGTATTTGTATAGCAGTTAACCACTGGCGGGAGTTACTATAATTTCCACCGCCGTATGTTGTTTTTATATCTACCACGTCAGGGTTGAGTTCCACTCTCTGCTCTGCTCATTTGAAGCGCGAAAAATGGCGTGATGTGTAGTGCATGATGCTCACGGCTCGAATTTCGCTACAGGCAGTTTCACTTTTATTTATTTATTTTTTTTTTAGGGAAGTAGAAATTCCACACTCGCAAATGAAGTGGTATACAACTAGTATACAACTAGTATACAACTGATGTATAGTCGGACAAGTGACAGTTAGCAGCACATCGCCGTACTAAAAATACCAGTTGCTTACATCGGAAGATGGAAGACGAACTAGTTAATGCAAAAATGCAAACTAGTTGCATTCTAGTTTACGACTAGTATTTTTCCCTGCAGGTTATATATTGTACATAAATCCCACATATGTGCCTCTTAAGTACACATGTATTCACGTTATTCTACTTGTTCACAGCTACAAATACATATACAAGTACATTATAGTCAGTGAAGTATTTCACTTTTAACTTATGAAAGAGAGCTCAGGCAGGGAATGTAACTCTTGTTTAGGTGTGTGAGAGTCACAAATATTTTGTTGTTACATTGGAGAATTACATCAAATGGATTTTTAAGTGCTCCTGTAGCAATGTTGGACAACATTCACATGTCAGTAACTATTTTCACCCAAAAATTACACAAAAAGTCAAAAATGCCAGTGTTAAAGCAGACCCTGTGGAGATGCTGGTGCACTGAGTTATGTTAGAGATAGCGCTGCTCTGTGCTCTGTTTATTCATATTTATATTTTACAATTTCAAAAAGTCACCTAAGGTTAAATATAATTGGTACTAATGAACTCAATGAACTTTAACTATCTTTGAGCATAATTTATTACTTTTTTTTTAATAATTCTTAGGACAACATATGAACGTAGTGGTTTCTCTGCAGGTATAGTTTGCTCTTTTGTTTTAATGTTGATACAACCAACAGTTGTTTGTGGGTATTTCAGGTCAACTACAACAAAGCGTTAAGTCACTTACAAATTTGCTGGAAAATTTCATTGATACAAATTGTATGGCAGAGACTGTGACGTATTCATATATGAGGTAGAAGGAAAATTAATTTTGTACAAAAGACAATTAATAGGGCTGGGGAAATATTTCCTTGACATGTTTTTTTTTTTTTTGCAAAGGAAAAATGTAGCCTCGAGTATTTGGCTTCAGCAGGAAGCAAGAGGGAATTCAACAGTCCACTGCTACACTAGTAAAAGAAGGACTGTCAACTCAACTCTCTCAAAAACACTGTTAACTCTTTTCAACTACCTTCCTTTGGACCTGTACACCAAATTACAAAACGAACTGTAATGTATTTAGATTGAATATGATACAGCTCAAACTTTGAGGGATTGCAGTATAGGATGCGCTAAAGTAGTAGCTCTTTCAAAAGTGCCGAAGGAGCTGTGTTCCGACAATTTTTTTTTCACGAGAACCTCAAACAAAAACGAATTGCGGAACAAAAACCCCCTCGATCTGAGAGCCATAGTCACCTTTACAGACGGCTCAAAGCTCGATGAACAAGCGGGCTGGAGAGTCTACTCTGTAATGCTCTCCATAAATATGAGCATGAGTATACCAGACCGCTGCATTACTTCTTGTTGTTGTAACTGCAAAAATATTCTCCAAAGTACTTTGTGTAGAATATTGCGGGTGTGACAGTTCTTGGCCGGATACAAATCCGGGTCATTTCGCTATAAAGACCCGTCCGTCTAACTATTGGATTTTAGTCCCGCAAGGGGCCATTCTTTGTAATCATGACTGCCGCGGAGTAGCTGCTCAAATCTACGGTAGCAGAGCAATCCGTTACGATATATTCCTACAGCCAAGCTGTCATTCGATCTCTATAATGTAACAGTACCACATCAAAAGTGGCTATAAAATGTTGCAGCAATCTAAATAAACTAAGGACTAAATGCAATCTAATGGTCGGGGTTGGCGGACAGAGTGATTTCCCTGGCAAATGTATGGCAAACGAGCCAGCGAGGAAAGGAACCCTTCTATCTAGAATAAAAAACACACGCGACTGGCCTTTGCCAAAGAAGCAGACTGTAGATATCTGAATGTGCTCACTTCACATGGCCCTTACCCGTTGTTGCTGTGTTCAGCCAGCCATTCCAGGTTGAAAAAGAATTGCTTAACGTGATAGTGCTCTGCGGAATTCTCTGCGGTTTTCGTTCGTGTTACAGATTCCAAAGAGGTATGGATACGATTGTCCGATTACCCTTGAGCTGCAAAAATTAACAGCCCCATGTATAGCGACAGATTCTGCATGAAAAACACTACAGTGAATCGAATCGGTGCTTTCAAGTATTATCCTGTCCCAAAGTTTTCTATCCGGGTAACTGCCTTGAACTCTGACATGAAGTTAGTTAATCTTTTTAAGTTGTGGTGATTCATTACTATACATTCAGATAACGGCGAAAGCAGCATTATGCAACCACAGAATTTCATTTGGGAGTAGATCTAAGTGGGCCTCAGTTGGTATGATACGAAGTACTCCGTTGAAGAGATCTCCTCTGCACTCGTAACTAATTTGGAGTTGATCTTATTTTTTCTCTAGGGCTATCCATCAGACTACAAGTCCGTAGAGAGGTATAGGTCTAACATCTGCAATATAAAGCCAACACTATTTTATATGATATGCACCTTATCCGGCCTATCGCACTTTTGCTGATATGGAAGACAATACACGCCTTACGCATTCTTTCCTCTGAGTTCTGAACCAGCTCATTTTCCTATTTAGGATGGATCTCAGTTATTTTAGAAGTGCATTCTGGGGAGAGCGCTTATATCCAAAGGAATGGGTTATAACTCCATGTGATATTACGAGTTCTCAAAGAGAGTTTAAACTGAAGTCCTCTTTATTTGATCACTCGGCTGCTCGCCCTGCAGCAATAAAATTCTCAGTGGAGTGTTCGGATGGTTTCTATCCGCACTGTGTTAATTCTGAGATCGCAATTTGTTTCTGGCATGAATTAACATGAATTAAGGGTTTCTCATAAAAAATATTAGCCATTCAGAGTCGAAGTAGTATAAACTATAGGCCCTTGCATCTATTGGCCAAATTTGCTTCAGCGTTATAAAGGGTCAATTTTATAATAGCGTAGGTACCGCTTTCGAGAGTATGCGCGAGTTGGAAATAGCATTATCTTCAAATCCCTGTTTATAGCCAACTGAAAACACCATGTGTAGCCACCTTAGCTTTCATCAGTTGTAGTAGAGCTCTTCCGCTTCTTCTACTTCCACCGGCGGTTACTGCATGGAAAACTTTCAAAGCGAACACTCATCCACTCCGATAACATGACCCTAAGATTTAACTGTTGATTCGCTGAACACCGTTGCCGTATCACCCTCATCGTGCCATCAACTCGTCGTTGACAATGCTTAAAGGACCATAAATCTTGCACAGAACTTCTATAGTCGAATTTGCTCTTTTCACTTTACTTTTCTATTGCTAGCTCAGTCCAAAGTAGCAACTGTACGGCAGGAGTGTTTCTGCGTTGGATTTCTAAATTGGTTATGGGTGCGAATGCAACAAGACACAACTTGCATTATGTTCTCAAGCAATAGAATCTCATCCGAAGCGTTGTAAAACTTTTCATTGGCGCTGATTCCTATGTGAGCTGTACCAAACACAGACCTTCTAAAGAATGCATAAAAGAATAAATAATTTAATAAAATGTATTTGCAATATATTGATGAGTGCATAAGTTCGTGCCCGATTTCAAGTGCAAACTAAAATTAAAATTTTTTGAAGAAAGCGCTTTTATTAATCAATTATGTATTCGCCATCATGTTCGGCAATCCACTCCCAACGTTCAACCAATTTACGGANGTTCGGACTGTCACCTTTCCAACGATATATAATATGTATATATTTCTTTCACGAGCGCCACTATCAAACGATTCGAACGGCATCCAGCGGAATCGGGCACGAACTTATGCACTCATCTAATAAAAATAAAACCGCACTTAATGGGTAAAGCCGCTCTGGGATTTTCGAAAACGCAATTTTAGTTTTTTTTTTTTGCTCAAAGGGTACCTTTAGGTTTTTGAAATGATATGCGATTGGTTTTAAAGTGAAAAAAATCTTTAAAATAGCTAAACTTTTTATTTTGCTGCAGCAGCTCAGAGCGTGCGCTGAGTTCAATGAAAACTTTAAATGCGTTTCCCTCAAAATCTCATTTTTCAAACTGGCAGGCCAGATTATGCGAACCCCAATGCGTGGATTTATTTGAAACTCCGATGGTAGCTTCACAAATACAATTTTGTGAAAGTATTTTTCAATCGAAAATCAATCCTTTAAAAAAAAATTAGTTCGTACTTCCAAAGACCATAGATTTTAGATCACAAAACTTTTTGCTTTTCTGTTCTGGGTCTCATCCTTTACAAAAAATCGGTCCTGCCGTGGAGGCCTTTCAAAAAACATGGATAAAATAATGAACTTTATCCCCGCCATGTAACATATAACAAAATAATAATTAAATAATAGTTTTTTATACTTCAATTCATGTTCAATGAGATGGTTTAATTGAAATTCCATTCCCTTTTTCATACTCCTACAATAATAAAAAGAATGGGATTCTTTGACCTCTAGATTGACTTTACCTCTTATTCAGCTGAATTAAGTTTATTTAATTAATATACTAAAAACGATTTAATTTAACTTTGACTCTCAATATTAATAAAATACCCAGCAAATGTGCGGGATTAACAGTTGCCGCAAGTAGCGAGTAACTTTTGAATGACTTTTAAAACTACTAAGTATTGAACTATTTTGCCATAACAATTCAAAAAATGCAAATAGAAAACACTTGAATGCAACTGAATAAATTTTGAGGCATTTGCAATGCGTTTGTTATGTGCACTCCCGTTTGGAATAGCTTTAATTCAATTAAGTAGCATATGCAATAGTTGGTTGTTGCAACTTTCCACTTCGCTGCACTGCAATATGCTCCGCCACCACAGCGCGCCATTCACCCACTCACACAGTGCAACTGCAACGAAATAATATAAATGAAATAAACTAAATACATTACCGTTAGTGAATTAGTGTGTGAATGTCTATGAGTGAGTGTATTAGTGTGAAGCGTTCGAGGAGGTGCGGAGATTTGGGTAGTGTTGACTACTGAAATCAGTGTCTGCACTTGAAATTGTTGCACATGAATAGCTTCGAGCATTTTGCGCATACAACCAATTACCTGTAAACAGGGCCATTAAACTGGCAACAACAATAAAAATTACCATAATAGCTACCAAACTGATGTCAAACAAAACACAAACACCCACCCATGTGCACACATAAAGACAAGCAGCAAAGCCATTTTCATGTTCATGGTCACATTTATACTTGTTTCACGTTTTCTATGCTCGTCATTATTTTTTTTTTTATTTTTTTTTTTATTTTTTTATAATTTTTTTTTTTTGAAGCATTTACACCCACGTTTAACATTTTTACTGTTATTATATGCAATGTATTAAAAGTTGTCTCTCTCGCTCCCTCTCTCTCTCTCTCTCCCCATTTGATTTTGCACTTAGAAGCACATTGCCAGCCAGTGTTGCTATACTCGTATTTGTATGTACTTGTACTTGTGTTTGTGTGCAGCATATTCTATGACAATAAACCCCATTTTCAATTCTTCTTATATTTTCTTATTTCTCTTTTCATGACAAAACCACAAACTATTATACTCAAACATACATCGTCGACACTAAACGTTTTTGCTATTGCCACACACAAAAAAAAAACACATTCACACACACAGGTTATCGAAGACTTCGGCTATATCTATGACAGTTCAATCACAGTGCCACCAGTCAGTGTGCCCATCTGGCCATATACACTCGATTTTAAAATCTCACATGAATGCAAGAGTGGCACGTGCCCATCGAAGAGTTTCCCGGGCGTTTGGGAGGTCCCACTCAACACTCACTATGTCGAAGGTTATGAAGGGGGTCACTGTCCTTACCTAGATCAATGTGTACTCCATAATTTGGATGAGGAAGAGGTATTCGCTTGGCTGCAAGAGGATTTCACACGTTACTATGAACAGAATAAGGCGCCCTACATGATGCCATTCCACACGAATTGGTTCCAGACGAAACCATTGGAGAATGGTCTGCATAAATTCCTTGATTGGACACTTGAACTGTAAGTACATGTATTACTATTTGGCGTATGTGGTGTTAAGTATACATACAATACATTTTTATGTATGTATATATGTGTATCTTTACAGGTACTAAATTTGAATTTGCATATTTTTGTTTAAATGAGGTGCAGAGTTCGTGATATCGAGGGTTAATTAATTTTGATTTAAAAGTGTCGTTAAACGTTTAGAAAGTGCTTTAATGTAATTTAATATGAGTTTCGAGTGCTCTGAATTTAAAATTTTTTCTAGATAGTAGTAATAAAAAGGGTGATTTTTTAGCTATTATCTTTAAGGCATCACTGGCTTAAACAGCTGACGCACGTTTCGTGTTTTGTATCACTGTCAAACATCCCAGTTTGGTCTATAATTTAACCATGAATCGTCTTACAAACGAACAACGTTTACAAATCATTGTGTGATGGGTCCGCAATAAGCAATAAGCAGAAATGTCGATTTTGGAGTGAAGATCAACCAGAAGTATTCCAAGAGCCACCAATGCATAAAGAAATAGTCACAGGTTGGTCCGGTTTATGGCCTGGTGGCATCATTGGACCGTGTACTTCTTCAAAGCTGATGCCAAACGTCACGTAACTGTGAATGCTGAGCGCTACCGTGAGATGATGTCACACCTTTTTTTGCCCAAAATGTAAGAGCTTGACTTGCATGACATGTAGTTTGAACAAGACGGCAAATCCGCTTCAATTGACGCATTGGAGACCAACATTGAAGCATTTATGCGCAAGATACCGGCCGAAATGTTGGAATAAGTATGCCAAATTTAAACTAAGCGGATGGACCATTTGAGGCACAGTCACAGTCAACATTTGCATCAAATAATCTTCGAACATTAAATTTTATGGACCGTACTATCGATTCAAATAAAGATTTCATGCGGTTTTCAGAATTTCATGTGTTTCTTTTTGAAAAACTTTCCTAAAACTTTTAAAAAATCGCCCTTTATAATGAACTTGATATACTCAGAACTCTTAGCATACTTTCTAAATGTGATGGAAGCAGCAAATCATTGAGCAGATCACGTTGCACGCAAGCGACATCCCAGCACACTATTCGACGTTCTGTGAATTATTTTGTATTAATCGATATTTTTTTCCGATCACTACATGTGTCGCATTTGAAAGAGTAAAGTTTAAAAAAAAAACTCCTCAAACACCCAGTTTACAATATTAAAACTTTAGTTCGATTACCGAAAGTAGCGCTGAAGGTCATTTTTTCAGGAAGTCCTCTGTACGCTTAAGTTCAGCAGCCACTTCAATCACCCAGCCAACGGTGATGATTAAAAAGAAGGTCCTTGACTATGTAGTTTTCAAAGTACATAAGATAGTAATAATTCTAATGATAGGTTTCTTAAAGAGGACATATGAGAGTAACTCGCCTTTCATTTAAATTTACATAACAGGTCAATTGGAAAGTTCCCGACCTGGCACATAGATGTCGCCATTAGAATTAAATTCATATGGTTTTTAGTTAGCCCTAACCCTCAAAAGATGCTTTTAAATACTCGACAGCTGTCGGATCACTAGTTATAAAAAATAAATAGGAATTTCGCGTTTTGATAAAATTTTGTATTTTGAAGAAAAACAAATAGAGTTGGAGCAAAAACTTGGCTTGATGACGTGTTTTCATTAGCGAATATTTTGGGTATGAGAAAACTCCGAGCAAAGTGGGTGCCGCGCGAGCTCACTTTTGCCCAAAAACAATGACGAGTAGATGATTCCGAGCAGTGTTTGGAGATGTTCAAGGGTAAGAAAATCGAGCTCTTGCGTCAATATGTGGCAATGGATGAAACATAGCTACACCATTTCACTCTGAAGTCCAATCTACAGTCATCCGAGTAGGCTGCACACGATGAACCCGCTCCAAAGCGTGGAAAAACGCAAAATTCGGCTGACTAGCTTATGGCGTCTGTATTTTGGGTTGTGCTTGGCAAAATTTTCATTGAATACTAGAAAATAAAATACTGTTAACACATGACAATCCACCGCCAGTGAAAACTTTGACCAAAAACCATGAATTGGGCTGTTCTCAGATCTCAAGAGAATTCAAGCTGGTAAGAAATTTTCGTTGAATGAAGAGGCTGTCGCCGAAACTGAGGCCTATTTTGAAGCAAATGTAAAACAAGTTATATTTGTTGAGCATTTTGCATTTCATTTACGTAACCAAATAAGCTCTTTATAATATTATAAGATTTTAGTCAAGGTTGTTCTCAATACGATCCCTATATAGCATATGGAAAAGTTAGGCGAAAAGCACCGACTTTACAAATAGTATTGATGTAATACAGGGTATGTGTAGATTCCAAGCCATTCTCTTCCAAGTCACATTAGCCGAGTGGTTAATATTGCAAGCTAAAATTTGGAAGACCATGATTCGAGTTGTGATCTGACTACCATCCAAAAACTATAGAATATAAATTTTATTAATTGGGATCGCTCCTCGGCAGGAATGTGAAGCACTCCGAGTGAGTATATTTTTGACCTGAATTAGAATAAACTGTTGATATCCTGATGCATATTGAAAATCGGTGGGAAATCGGTTTAATGTTTACAAACCGAGAATTATATATTGGGCAAGTAATAAGCCAGCCATTATTTTTACATTGAACTGAAAGCTTTATAAGCCATAGTTAGAATTATCCGAATTATTTCAATCATTTTATGCCTCTCTCACAGAAGCCCTTGTCCATATTTTAAAAAAATTGGAACAATCGATTTTCTCAGGTTTCTCTTGGGGTCAATTCTTCGCCAGCCAAATCATTCGTCATAGACAAGAACAGATGGTGGTCACTTAGTGTGAGACCTGGACTATGAGGGGAATGCATAAAAACTTCCCAATAAAACTCTTGAAGCTTCTAGCGAATCACTACCGTTGTGCTGATGTGTTTCCCGGTCATTGCTTGCTTCAGACGGCCCAATGGCTGACAGTGCAGGTATTAGAGCATTAAGCGATTGGCTGTAGGCGCGCAGCTCATAGCGGATGAATCTTTGCTAATTACACGAAAACCCGCAACAAATCCTGACCGTTTGCATTGGCTCACTGCCCATCCATCACGACAGTTTTCATTTGATCCACTTTACAGTTACCATCCCCTTCAAAAACAACAGTCATGGAATTTCGATTTTTGAGGTTTTTTCTCGTAAACTCATGGGGCACTAATACATCGAGCTTTTTTGTGCAACCAGTTTTCTTCAAGTGGTTCCAAACTATTTTGTATACAATGTTGAAGTTCCTAGGCAATCGGTACAGTGCTCGAATCATGGTCCCTAAAGCCGTCTATTGCAAAAATAGCATTAACAGCGATCCAGAAGTTTCATTAATTTTATTTTCTTTCATATCTTTAAAGGATATTATCTTTGTTAGAATAGTTGGTTAGAACACATATGACACCATTTATTCCTTACCCTCTGTTGAGTGAATTTTTTTTAACTTTGTTGTTTTAAATGGCCTAACCATGTCAGCTAAAAACAAAATATGTTTAGGCTAAGGGATAAGTGAATAATGCGTGACAAGACGACCAAGCCGTAAGCCGACTAATTCGTTGATGACAGGAGGGAATATTTCGCCTTGTTCCCCCAGTCACTCCCAGACTCATACACTTCGGTCTGGTTCACTTCGGCCCGGTTCTTAAATTCAATGATAACAATATTATTCGATTAGAAACAGTAATAGTAGGGTCTTTTGTTTTGAAGAAATATTAAGCAAAAAAAAATATAACTTTAATCTCTCCTCTATTGTCTAAACGAATATGCCATAAAAGGATTTGCTATAAACGCAAAAAATAAAACGACGTATTATTTTATAACCAAAGAGAATTAAGAGTAATTACAGCACTTTTTCACTGAATAGTTTGCCAACGCATTGAATTATTTAAACGTTAACTGAAAAAAAAAATTACTAACGAAACCTCAACTTTTTTGCCTCGCTCAGCGCTGTCCCATTTACGCTCAGTTTTTCTTTCATTTTTTTTTTTTTTTTTTTTTTTTGCTTTGCGCTCATTCACTTTTACGCCGCTGACCAACACCGTTTCGCACGTTTTAATGAGAAAAGTTTAACAGAATTAAACTTTCATTTTAAAATAACGCAAAACATAGTTAATGCGAAAAAAGCAAAAAAAAAAAACACAAGCTCCCCGCAAAAACAACAACACAACTAACGAAACGTTGCAAAAAAAAATACAACAAAATTACATTAGCGCCATGCAAGTCAGAGACAACAGCAAAATAAAAAAGTAGAAACAAAAACAAAAAAAAATATATAGAAAATATGCGAAGAATTTACCTCACTAATGTAACGGATGTGCACGGTCAGAAGACTGCTGTAAGCGACATGACCTAAACCGCCGTCATGTTGAAATGGCGCATATATTGTTGTTTAAACTTCGGTAATGAAGTTATGCTGATAATATCACCCACTGCTAACACAGCCGATGGCACTTAGCATTAGTTGTAATTGAAGCCACTGCTGCTGTGTTGTTGCTTTTGTTGTTGGCAAGCATTCGCTTCACTCACTCAACGCGAGGCATCACAAATAGTCAGCGAGTATAGCAGCAGCAGCAGCAACAGCAGCAAGCAACTGACAGTGAATTTTTGCAATTTTTACGAATTTTTCCCCATTTTCATGTCCATGTGACGCACACAGTCTCGTGGAAAATAAGTGGGAGCAATCAATTTTGATAATAAATATTATTATAGACTTTTCTAAAATATTCCAAATAAAATTATTTTTATAGGCAAATAAATAGGTGAATATGCAAGTGAGGTTTGGCATATGTACATATACATATTTTGCATTTTTATTTTAAAAAATATTTTTGTAGGAAAATATTATTGAAAAATTTAGCTTTTTTCCGCCCTCAACAGTACATACTCATTCACCACAAACCAGTGAAGATAGTTTATTGAAAATGGCAACATCGGCTCTTTATATATGTAAAATGAAAGTTTTAAAATTTTATTTTGTTCTACTTGGTAAATTCAATTTT